GGGGAATTCTGGGAGTTGAAGTCCACACAGCTTAAAGCAGCCAAGGTTGAGAATCACTGCCATAAACTAAGGACCAGTCCAAGGGACGAGGATAAGATGGAATCCAGAGTTTAAAGCATGGCACCCCAAGGAAAACACAACAGAGCTGAGGCTTGAAAAGTGGTTTTTTTGGGGAGGGGCAATAAATAAGCCCAGCTGAGCCACCCCCCAAATGCAGAGATGGGGTGCCTGACTCTCCTGCTGGCTTGGTTTGGGGCAGCCTATCTGCCCTGCGGAGCTCAGCCCTCTGCTGTCGATCCTCAAAGGAGGCCGCTGCTCAGGGCTGGGTGGCTGCGGCCAGCGGGTGCCGGCGGGGAGTCCTGGGGGCTGGCTGGATCGGCCTCAGCCAGGGTGGATCATTGGCGTCAACCCTGCTGGAATCCCCCCCTCCAGGACGATTAGATGCCCCCAGCTCTATGTCAGCCTTGCGAGGTAGTCCACCCAAGAAGCGCACCCAGGAGTATTAACTCTATTGCACGGTTACATTAACAGAATCTGTGGGAATCCCACCCCCTCCAGGACTATTATCCCTAGACGCTCCCAGCTCTACTTCTTCCTCTTCATCCGAGGACGAATCCAGCAGGCTGTAACGTTGGCAGAAGCAGGTCTAGCTAAGGGGGCAGCTGGAGTAGAGAGGACAAGGGATGAAACAAGGAGGAAGGTCATCCAGTCGTAACAGAGATGAACACAGCAGGGGCACTTGATCTCATTAGCAGGCAATATGCCCCCTAAAATGACATTTTCATTGGGAAAAGCTCAGAAACTGAGGCAGCTGGCAGTGGCAAGAGACGACGATGTGGAACGTCCGTGGGCGAGCTACGGCCAGGGGCGTCCGTGGGGGAAATCATGGGGCAAGTTATTTCAAGGGCAAGGCTTCGATCGCATGGCTGTAGCCACCATATTGACCTTTTTGACCCCTCCCCGCCTATGGCCCACCAGATGCTGCTGAACTTTGATTCCCAGCATAGTTAAAAGTGTGGCCAGCGAGGAAGGTCATCAGCCGTTGTAATTGCGCAACAGCTAGAGAGCTGACCTGGTTCGAGAAAAACAAACCGAAAACAAAACACCCCATCCAGGGACAGTCATCTCTAATGGGGATTTCTTGAAGAAGTGGGTTGTAAAAAAGCTAATCGTGAACCGAAAATATTTTGCCAAAATTAGCTTTTACATGGGAGCGTAGGAAAGGGATTGACGTATTGCCATTAAAAAAAGAAATCAAGATTACAGGCCAGTTAGTGTAATGCTGTTCTTCATAACTTGGCAGCAAATATTTTTAAAGACTAAATTTTCAAGCAGTGTGTGTGTGTGCGTGTGCGTGTGTGTCTATGTGTGAAAAAAGTCAAGACCATACAAATGAAGCCCTGCCCCTTTTTAACATACATTGGGTGCACAACACATATTGGGCTGTAATTACATGGTTGCAGCTGCCATCTTGACTTTTTTTGACCCTGGGCATGGATGCCCTTGTCATCAAGCTCATAGAGGGAGCAGTCTTCTTGAAGAAGGATCCTGGATAAGGGTGGGGGTGCGCTCTGTTTAATAGCCTGCTTTTGGTATATCAGATTCTTTCAAAAAATAGTTGCAAAGGAAAAAAGAGAGAAGAAAAAGAAAAGAAGGAGGAATCAGTGCTTTATTTTTTTAAAATAAGGTATAAACCGGGAGCTTTGGAATTTTACTGGTTTGAAATCTCTTTATAGTAACCCCTTTAAAAGTAGAAGAAGCAAGCCACAGGTGTTTGAAGGCATGAAAATCCGTTTGTACCAGAGACCATTTGGAGCAAGTCAGTAGCCATCTCATCCTGGGATCCACCCCTGTTTTTATTTATATTTTGCTTTTCCCTTCCCTTCTCTGTCTCTCCCCCAAACAGCTCTAGAACATCTGTCGAACATCCACAGAGGCTTCTGCTTACTTGCAGAAAAATGGAACGTGGGGTATTAAGTTGTAAACATTGATCGTTTGTTAGGCAAGAACAGGAGAGAAGAGAGAGGCAGACACCCAAACTATTTTGAAGACAGCGTATTTTCAGCTTCAGTGCAACACAACCCACAGGTAGAAACTGGAGGAAATGAAAGCCCAGCAGCCAACAGGAGATGTGGAGGCCTTGATACAGATGCAAAATGGGCTTCCTGTTTCACCACCACAGGAAGTGGCGGGCAGAGGCAACAAGGTGCGCACGCAGCAGACGTCCTTGCCGTGTCTCACCACTTCAGCAAGAAACCCATTATGGTAAGAGAACCCAGAAAATGTCCCCCCAGCCTTCTTCCCTTTCGGTGGCCCCCTCAGAGCAGGACGGCCTGAGATCACCTTTCTTTGTGGCCTCCAGGATAAAGACTATGTTGGCTTCGCTACGTTGCCCACCCAGGTCCACAGGAAGACTGTGAAGAAGGGGTTTGACTTCACTCTGATGGTAGCAGGTAACTAGTTAAACCACCAGCTTTCTCCATTGTATCAAACTCCAACATCCCAGCTCCCCCTTTAGTCCACCAAGCCCTTCTGCTTCTTCAGAGCAGATGTTCTTGCCTCTTGCAGATGTTTTCTCTTCCTGAATTGATTTAGGGATGTTATTCTATGGTACAAAATTCATGCATAAGGGCTAGATATGCTTCCAAAATGATTCAGAAGAAGCACTTGGGACCCAGTGTGAGCGCAGCTCCCCTCTGCTTTTAATTAAAGCAGGCAACTCGTTCAAGCTAATGGGACTCTTAAAGCTGCTGCTGCTGCTGCTCCTTCTCCTCCTCTTTCTCCCTCTTCTTGGCTTAGATGAAAGTCTGGGAAAAAATGGGCTGCTTTAGAGATGCTGTGTTCACATTTGCACAAGGCCTGAAGCACGACTGAGTCCTTTTTGAAGGGTGCCTAGTCCTAGAACGTACGCCCCTAACTGCAAGCTTTGGGGTACAGTATAGTACAAGCCAGCCTTCCCCAAGCTGGTGGCCTCCAGAATTGCTGTGTCCCCCAGGGATCTCCAATAGTCCCAAGGCATTGGTGAAGCAATTAGAGTTTCTGTCTTGCTTGACAATTGGCAGGCTTTTTTGCATAAATTCATTGGACTGTAGTGTGAGATGCTGAGAACGGATCATGCCTTATTTTGTTTGTGTGTTATTTTGTTAAGAACGGACAGTTTTCACTTTTGAAATCTGTATGTCTGGAAGAATACAGTTAACAGCTGGTATTCACAATTCTTAGATTTTTATAGTGCTAATCTCGAGAGATGCGTATATACATGTTTTATTAAGGGAAAGTGTTCACTTAGGTGTATGTGTCTGAAAAAAAATACAAAAAAGCATAAGGGAAAACTGCTTCCAAAAGTATGTATTTTAGGCAAAAATGTATGTAAGAATGTTCAGGCTATTAGAAACTGAGTAGGGTTGGGGCAAAATGTTGAAGACTGAGAGAGAGAGAGAGAGAGAGAGAGAGAGAGATTCACCAATGGCAGTGGGACTTACATGCAGGATACGGCCCACGTAACCCTCAAATCCTCATCCTCAGGCCTTCTGCTAAAACCAGCTAGGCGCTTGTCATCTTGCAAAATTTGAAAGAGACAACCACGCATACACAGAAGTAGCTCCAGATTCATTTCTATAGTCCCAGGATGAATGCTACACTCATCTTCAGATAGCATACTAAGGTTGGCTTGGCTAAGTGTGGTAAAATACTTACCAAGCTAATAAAAGCAAAAGGACATGGCAAGCTTTAGCCGACTGGTTATTGCTTCCTCTGATGGCCCAGGGGGAGTTTGAACATCATGCACAAGGTAAGGAGATATTGAGGCTTCTTATCGCACCTGGGTCATTATTCATTTCTACCATAAATTGTATCCTGGGCCTTAGTTCAGCCTTGAATGATACCCAGATGTTTAGTATGTTGTATAGACCAGGTCGGTGGCTGAATTCACCCATGTGCTACATTATACTGAGCCATAATGCCATTTTGCTTGGCTTTGGCTTAGCATGTCAGGAGACCCCAGCCGATGGCAGCTCACTCAACAAGCCATCATTAAGCAGTGACTTTGTATGTTCCCAGCTTGTGCTTGCTCTTAAACTCCAATAGTCAAACTTTCTCTATTCATTCTATAGGAGAATCTGGACTGGGAAAATCCACTCTCATCAACAGCCTTTTCTTGACTGATCTGTACAAGGACCGAGCACTTCCAGATGCACAAAGTGAGTAGAGCTGATGATTTGGGGATGATGGGCCTGGGGGAGTAACCTGATTAGAAGACCACACTGCTGGTCCTGCTTTCTTCTTCTCTGCTTCCCACAGCCAGGATCCCCCAGACTCTGGAAATTGTCAAACATGCCGTAGATATTGAAGAACGAGGAGTGAAAGTCAAGCTGACGGTGATTGATACCCCAGGATTTGGGGACGCAGTAGACAACACTGAGTGGTAAGAGGGCACCTCTCTACAGGCTTATGCCGTAATGCTGTGGATGAAAATCAAATCAGGTTATGCGTGCTCACAAACAGTACGCCCACAATCCTGACTGGAAAGAGGCTTCGTCATGAATTTGCAGTAAACAGATTTAGAGATGACCTCGGGGGAGGTATGAAAAAACCTTTAAGGAAGATGACACAGTTCAGAGACTGAAGCAAATCCGAGAAAGAAACTCCAAGTAACTCCACCCTGATTTTGTTTCGTAGAAGATGTGACGAGAGAAATTTGGACAGAAGCTTTCCAGATTCTATTACGCTGTCCTGCTGCCATAAAGTCACATTCCAGAAATCCTTGCGGTGTCTGTTTCTTGACCTGGCTTACCTTAAAGGGCAGATGCTCAGTCCTTTTTGTTCTTTCCCCTTTTATCTTACAGCTGGAAACCAATTGCCAATTACATCAACGGCCAGTTTGAACAGTATTTTCAGGATGAGAGCGGCCTCGACCGCAAGAATATTCAGGATGGGCGTGTCCATTGCTGCCTCTACGTCCTCTCGCCTTTTGGCCATGGGTATGACGCACAGAGGTTTAGGAGTAAAGCAGAATGAAAAGTGGGTGAGAGCCTTACGCCTTGCCTCCTGGGAGGACCAGGGGTCTCCCAATGAAGAGCAGCTTAACGTCAGATAGAACCCAGCCCAGCATTCGCACCCACCACCCAGTTCAATGTTGGAACTGGTAAAATGATAATAAAAATACTACTAAGCGTGTTCAAAAGGCCTTCCAAACTAGCCACCCATCTTGACATCAGGCGGGTAGGCGAGTTTATTATTTTATTTGGAATAAATGATCAGCTGGGGGCAGGCAGAACCTAAGCTTGGCTGTTACCTAGGATGTTTTCTAAGGACTGTCAGACCTCTGGCTCCTCCTCTTTTGTGATAGGCTCCGCCCCCTGGATATAGAATTCCTCCGAGCCATCCATGACAAAGTCAACATTCTGCCTGTGATTGGAAAAGCGGATTGCTTGACTCCAACAGAGGTGCAGCACAAGAAAGAAAAGGTACCCCGCAGGAAAAAAAAATCTGCCTCAAGGAAATAAATCTTGTAGAATACAAAGACACCCAGAGCCCCTTTCACATGCACAACTGCCAAGCTAGTTCTCCCCCATCGTATACTTGGGTGAAAGGAGGAAGAAAAGTATTGCAGGCTTGTCTGCCCAAGCGAACAGATGGTGGAACAGGCTGAAGCAGTGAGTTCTTCACTTGGGGTCTCCAAATTGAGGCTGGATGGTCATCAGAGATGCTGTTGTGGTTTCTGATCTGAGCAGGGGTGTAACGGCATGTGGGAATGACCTCGGGAGACAGGAGGATGTGCCACAGGCTAGACAACGGTCAGACAAGAGGCAGCTGAGTCCACAGAAGGAATGTGGGTGTGGCAAATGTCTCAGAAGGGGCCTTCCCTAGTTTCTTGGACTGTGAAGGTGAGGGGGGAGAGATGGACTTTCAGACTTGCAAGATTCCATTAATGTAACCTTACAATAAAGTTACAGCTGGTACTTCTGGGCGTGCTTCTTGTCTGGACTACCTTGCAAGGTTGAACTAGATGACCTCTTCCAACCTATAAAAAATATTTACTTTGACTAGGCTCTGACACGATGTCCCAGACACACCTATATAGTTTTCTTGGTGACAGTACAAAAGTGGTTTAATATTGCCCTCCTCCAGGATGATTTTTTAAAATTTCCCAATCAAAATTTCCTTGTGGTCTCCCATCCAAGCCCTAGTTACACCTGATTCTGCTTGAAAATACCCACATTAAACTGCTACCATCCCTTCCATAGCTACATTTCAAGGCTGTTTTAAAGTTATTTGTTTCCATCCCTTTGGATGTACAGATTCGGCAGGAGTTAGCAGCCAACAGCATCTGCATTTATGAATTTCCTGACTGTGACTCCGATGAAGACGAAGAGTTCAAAGCTCAGGATGCTGAGATGAAGGTGAGAGTGTTGCAATCTACTGCGTGTTGCATGTGATGGTCTCTGGGGTTGGATTAGTATTCGCTGGCTGGGGAATTCTGGGAGTTGAAGTCCACACATCGTCAAGTTGCCAAGGGCTAAGACTTAAGGATCTAATTAGTGTTCTCCCTGCAGAGAAGCATCCCTTTTGCTGTGGTTGGATCCAGCCATGTGGTCAGAGAATTAAAGGACAAAGTATTTCGAGGAAGACAGTATGCCTGGGGAACAGTGGAAGGTAAATCTCATTAAGAGCAGGATGGACAGCAGAGGGCACTGTGCCATGAGAAGTCAGAGGTGACACATCTCCTGTTTTCTCATCCCCTAGTGGAGAACGCCACACACTGTGACTTCGTTAAACTTCGGAACATGTTGATCCAAACCCACATGCAGGACTTGAAGGATGTGACCCACGAGGTTCATTACGAAAACTACCGCGCACAGTGCATTCAGAGTCTCACCAGACCGGGAGCTCGGGACCGCAGTAGCCGCGCGTAAGCCAGCTTTGGGTCTTTGGAAAAGTGGGAAGTTGCTGAGGGAAGTTGGATGGCGATGTCAGGAATGAATCAAGGGGCTGGCTGGGTTTGTGTCGCATAATGCAAACCAAAAACCACACGCAATTGGTTTACACATGCTGAGCCATAAACCATGGTCTCTTATCTCTGCCAGCTTCTTTTAAAATAAATCTTGTTAAGCCCAACTTATGACTGTAGGTGGACTGTAGATCCATATAGATGACCGTGTGCGTTATTATCATAGTCATTATATGTGAAATTTGTTGTGGTTCTGCTTTCTTTTTTCCTCTTTTTCTAGTCTTTCCTTCCTTTTTCAGTTCAGTTCGTTTAAATCAGTGTTTTTTTCAAACTTGGCAACTTTACGATGCGTTGACTTCAGCTCCCAGCATGCTGGCTGGGGAATTCTGGGAGTTGAAGTCCATGCATCTTAAAGTTGCCAAGTTTGAAAAACACTGATTTAAATAAAGCATAAATAAATAAATAATGCATGCATGCATGCATGCATTATTTATTTATTTATGCTTTATTTAAATCAGTGTTTTTCAAACTTGGCAACTTTACGATGCGTTGACTTCAGCTCCCAGCATGCTGGCTGGGGAATTCTGGGAGTTGAAGTCCATGCATCTTAAAGTTGCCAAGTTTGAAAAACACTGATTTAAATAAAGCATAAATAAATAAATAATGCATGCATGCATGCATGCATGCATACATACATACATACATACATACATACATACATACCAAGAACATGACCCAGTGAAACTTAGAAACTCTCCCTTGCTTCTCTAGGAAACTGTCACGCCAGAGTGCCACTGACCTGTCTGTCCTGCCCATGACTGAGACAGAGAAATTAATTCGTGAGAAGGATGAGGAGGTGAGTCACAAAGAGAAACGCTTCCCTGAAGGGATTGAATTTTCCAACCGTTCTGGCATCACTTTCTTGCAAGGGGTCAGATTAATGGAGAATGACTGAAGTGCAATTTTCCACCTCCTCTTCCCGATTAGCCTCCCCCTTAGTTGCAAGGGATGGGGGAATCCCTCGACAACCTGTCAGCCTTGCGAGGTAGTCCAGACAAGAAGCACACCCAGAAGCACTAGCTTTACTTTACTGTAAGGCTACATTAACAGAATCTTGCAAGTTTGCAAGTCCATCTCTCCCCCCGCCATCGCTTTTACAGCCCAAAAAACTAGGGAGGGTCCCTTCTGAGACGATTGCCACATCCCCATTCCTTCTGTGGGCTCAGCTGCTGCTTATCTGGCCATTGCCTAGTCTGCAGCTCTTCTGCCTGTCTCCCAAGGTCATTCCCACATACTGTTACACAACCAGATGCAAAAATGAAGGTCTCCCAGAGAAAAGACAGATTATTTCTCCCATTTCCCTTGATAGAAGACAAATGTATTTTGTAATCTCTACTTCCGTGCCAACTACAGAGAGGGAAATGCAGGTTCCTGGCCTCTTAGCAACCATAGGTCCAGGTTGGAGGATTCGTCTTGCCCAGTATAGTCAATCAGCTTCGCACCCCAGTCTGCCCCCGCAAATCCCAGCAGCTCTTGCCCACTAGTCCCAGGCTGGGGATAAACAGCCGGCTGCACCCTGAGCGCAAACTTCATTTCTCCATTGTTTTTCCCAGCTCCGTCGGATGCAGGAAATGCTACGGAAAATGCAGGAACAGATGCTACAGAGCAAGGGGGAACAATGTGACAGCCTCTGAAAGAGACTAGAGCTCTTCTTCCAAGAACCACAGGAATCCCAAAGGGAGAAGAGAAGCACTCCAGCCAATCTTCCTGCAGCCAGGGACCAGAGGAGCCACCAGCTTTGGAAAACGGCCAGGTTAGCTCTGGCAAATGAACTGTGCATTTTTTTAAAATCCCACCTTTACTATTTTTATAAATAAGGCAGCGAACATACCTAATACTCCTTCCTCCTATTTTCCCCACAACCACCCTGTGAGGTGAGTTGGGCTGAGCGATTGGCCCGAAGTCACCCAGCCGGCTTTCGTGTCTAAGGTGGGACTAAAACTCAGTCCCCTGCTTTCTAGCCTGGTGCCAAGATCACTTAGGGAATTCTTTCCTCTATTCACCTGCTCCTCTTTCACACACAGCCCTCTTCCCATCCACCAGGACCCTGAGCATTTCTCATTTGCCAGCATAGCAGTGCTTCAATAATAATTCAAGAGTCTCCAATAAAGGTAAAATGCAATTTTGGATCCAGGCGGGCCTGGAATTTTTAGTGCACCTATTCTCATAATTTCTTTCTTGCTAGGTATTTATATCCAAAGTATAATCCATTCATGCTTCTGGATTGAATCTTGCCCAGCATCAAATAACTGCTTTTCCTACCATTATCCAGATCTGGTTTATTCAGGATCATATTGATTTATCAGGACACGTTGGCTGAACTGACACAGCTCACTAAACTGTAATTTTGTTCCTTTTGTCATGGATGAGTGTTTTATGTGATGGCAAGCAAACCCAGCCAGTTTCGATTAAACTACCATGGCTTAGCTTAACATGGGAACCAAATAATTTTCTACAATATCCACAGATCTTCCACAAGAAGGCTGAGATTTTAAACAATTGGTAAGAGGCCACAGATCTATGCTAAGGAAAGTAACTCTAATTTTTGGTCCAATATTATAATAGGCAGAATCAGCAGGATAGTTTATTGGGTGAGCAAAAATGGAAATATGGTGGAGGGGAGACTGACTGAGGTGCTGAAGAAGAAACATAGGTGTCCATTCCTGTCCACAATGACTCCAACATCATGACATTGTGCTGAAACGTGATGCACGCTCCAGTTTCTGTACCTGTGTTGCAATATCACACACATATGTGTGCTGAGTATGCATTGTATTGTCACATGTGTGTAAGGGGGGGCATTTGCATCATGACATCACTTGTCCTTTCTGCCCACTTGTAGGAGAAAATGAATCAATACAGAGAAGACATATCAAGCGATCTCTTGGGCTTTTATTATTTTATGAAGGTAGCCATAACATGTTGCCAGTTTGAGCAGGAAAACCATCACAGCCACTTCATTCTTTAGCCTCCCACTGTTTCTTCTCCTCAGAAATGCCCTGTGTTTGCTTGAGACCCAAAGGGGATTATAAATGAGGCTTTAGAAAAACAGCTTGAGGTGGCCAATTCTATTGGAAAGAACACGCAGTCATGAAGAAACCTTCAATCCTTCAGGTCAAAATGGTGGCCTCCTACTTTTCTTTAAAAACCAAACAAAAGGAGAGCCACAAGTTGGAGAAATAATTTGGCCCTATTCAGAAAGTGGAGTGTATAAAAGCTCCTTGCCCTTTTATATTTGATTCACCTCCATGAGGAACAAGGCACATATTTCTCTCTGCAAAAGACCATTTTCCACAAGCTGATGCAAGACATTTCAGCTTTACTTCCTCTCCAGAGAATTCCTTTGCACTCCCGTGCATACATCTGCAACCCTTGAAGTTTGGGATGGAAAATCTACAGCAGTGTTTCTCAACCCTGTCTCCTTTAGGACTGGCTGGGGGATTCTGCGAGTTAAAGTCCACATATCTTAAAGTTGCCAAGGTTGAGAAACACTGACCTTCCAATTGTGGTTGGACTCCAACTCCTATGACTTTTGGCCAACATGGTCTCAGGTAATGGAACTGTAGCCCAACACTTTCTGGATGGTCACAGGTTCCCCAAATCTACTTTACAAAAGAAAGGAAAGGGCAAAGGACTAAAAACAGAGTTCGCCATAATAGGGATGTCTGCCTATCTTTGAATCAGAGCTTGCGGGATTCACCTGCTCATCCAGATAAGGTCCTAAATCATGAAACAGCAAACATTGCAGCTTGGTTAGAAAAGAGCAGCCTCTAAAAGCCACAGACTGGTTTCTCTTCTTCCCACCCAGGAAGAGGTTCTGTCCATACTTATTGCTGATACTCTGTGTACTTTTTGGATGAACCATAGACCCGCTTGGCTGGGTATTTGAGGCAGTTCTTCTCTATTTTGTGGAGAGCAGCGGAAGGAAGGTCCACGTGGCATTTATTTGCCAATGCCACCAAATAAATGAGGACATCGCTGAGCTCATCGGCCAGGGCTTCACGCTCCGATGGTGTCCACCCTGGTAGGCCTTCAGGGGCTTCCTCCCGCCATTGGCTAAAGACAACAGACAAAAGCACTGAGTGCAAATGACAGCTTAGATGGGCCCAGATTAAAAAGGGAGAAGAAAGCCAGAGGTAGGTTCTCTTCTCATGATATGCTAAAGCAGAGTTTTGCAACCTTGACAAGCCAATATCCACGGAAAAAGGACTTTCGTTCATAGTGCCACAGCTGACGAATCCCTACCTCTCCTTGCCTTTCCTTAATGAGTAACATAGGGCTATGAAGCAACTCTCAACACTTGTGCTACTCCTAGGAAATGTCCTCTGGACATATGTTTTGCTATTTATTTATTGACCCCTGAAATAAATTAACCTAGCCTTCTTCCTAAGATTAAAAAAATAATTAAAACATGTCAAACAATAAAACCATAAAAAGAGCATCACAGTATAGATCAGTGTTTCTCAACCTTCACAACTTTAAGGTATGTGGACTTCAACTCCCAGAATTGGCTGGGGAATTCTGGGAGTTGAAGTCCACATATCTTAAAAGTTGCTAAGGTTGAGAAACACCGTATTAATGATCTGTAACAAGAGGAGTAATTTAAGCTCAAACCAAGAGCACATCTCAGCAAAGCAGTGTGTTTGAATCCAGTCCCCAACTGGTGCTATGGGTGAGCATTCCGGCAACGGGGAGCCACCACAGAGCAGGCCTCATCCACATTTTGTACATATCCCAAGGGTGTACATCCACTCACAACGACAAGTTGAATTTTCAACTTGTCCTGTTGTCTAACTCAAAATGTATCCTTGCATTTGAGTGGAGAAAGCCTCCCCCAGTGGGTCCCTCTTGCAAGAACGTAAGCAGTGCCCTGCTGGATTGGACCCCTGGCCCATTTAGTCCAGCAGTGTCTTCTCCCAGGGGCCAACCATCTGCACAAGGAAGCCCACCAGTCTCCCAGCAGATGGCCTCCAGGGGCCTTCGTATTGCCATCAAGGCTAACAGAATCTAGGCTCCTCCTGTGGACATACCCTTTTCCTAAATTAAACTGCAGAGGAAGGGGGAAAGTGGAAACCTAGAAAACACTCTTCTGCATTGCCTAACTCCTGGTGGGTGGGCAAATTCAGCAGACATGAAAAAAGTCACTAGCAGTTCCCAAGAAGGCATCTTTTGATCTACCTCCCCATCTCTTCCCCCCACTCCCTGGATTGTTATACTCACAAGAGCTCTGCCAGCTCCCCAACCTCCCCGACGAGAGCAAGAAGCAGGTTCCGAGGTTGGTGGTACTTTCCCCAGCCCCGCTCAGCTGCAAATGCAGACTGGAGGCTTCGGCTGCAGGATACAAAGCAGAGGAGAATATGAGAATGCTGCAGAGCAGTGTTTCTCAACCTTGGCGACTTGAAGATGTGTGGACCTCAATTCTGAGAACTGAAGTCCACGCGTCTTCA